GTCCCAGTGAGACAAAATACATGGCAGTGGGTACATAAAAAGATCAATGCTGTATAATAAAATAATTATTCACATGGCACTGTAATGATATATATTATAATTAATTACAGATCCAGCCCAGGAGCACATGGTGGTGGCAGCAGCTCCAGCTTGGACCCAGATCTTGTGGCATCATCTCTGGCTCTGACAAGGGGCACCTGGCAGCAGTGATGGTGGCAGAGGTTCCAGTATGGAGTGGTGGTGGGGCTGGCAGCCAAGGAGGTAGAGCAGCGTTTCCAGCCGGTGTGCTGTGGTATCCGGCTGGCCGTGCACCAGCCCCGCCCCCCTCACTCTGCGTCTGGTGTGCTGCTGCTTTTTTATTTAGGTAAGTGTGCCGTGGGGTGAAAAAGGTTGGGAAATGCTGAGGTACAGCCATGATAGTCACAACAGGAATGACCAGGGACGGATTAGCTCTTGCTAGCTCTCCTGCCACTGATCACCATGTGCACAGTAGCCTTAGATTCTGCAGCAGGCCACTCCATCCCAGTCATTTCCCCAACTTCTGGTGGCCTGCCAACAGCCTAGCAGACTGGATAGAGTAGCTCCATGGCCCAGATCCAGCATGACGGCCATATGCTGACATCCCTGACCTACATATATTGTATATATATGCACCAGCCACCTCTATAAGTATGCATACTGATGATTGCATATACACATACACGCATCCCCTTTGAAGGTGAGGCGGTGATATTTATGTGATAAACTGCAGAGCCATGCATTGTGTTAATTTTGTCTTGCACCTCTGATCACCTCACCTGACTGCAGATCACTGATCCATCACCCACTGGACCAACTTCTAAAACTTTTTATCAGCTTTGAGCAGCTGCTTTTTTTTTTTTTTTAAATCAACCTATCAGAGAGATATTTCCTTCAGATCCTTCTGCAATATGGCAATTGGCTTTTATTCACATCCCCGATAGTTAAAAATCACAACATTACTATTCACGGAAGAGCTATTTTACTTTTGATAAATCATTAAAGGTTTAAAGGTTATAAATGTATTTCCCTCTGAAGCCTATATAGTGGACATAGGGTGACTAAAGGAGCTTGGTTTTATGCACAGAAGGTTACAAACAATAGTACTACTAAATCTTTAAAAACTTGCTTCTTCAGTGATCCTTCACGGTTGAGGATGATCACTCCTCTGGGTCAAGTAAAAGGTTGTTGTGGCAGGTTCAAGCCCCAGGGGCAACTGTGACACCTTCAGGTAACTGTGTGGCTCCTGCCCAGTCTCTAATGTAGCCCTCCCTTGATTGCTTACCCACCATGCCTTGTTCTTATTGAAGATTAGGTAAGGGAGGCTGCCCACAGGCTTTAGGGTGAGCCTTAATTGGTGCAAGTCACCACCAAGTCCCTTCTGGATCCCAATAATCTCAATTCAACATTCAAACTCAGTAGGCCCTCACAGCCTGTCTGTGCCCCTGCAGAGCACCTGTAACCTTAAGGGCTCACTGTGTAGCTCCATTGTCTCCTACACCATGCCCTATGCCTCACGGGTGTTATTTTACAGTTATTCACCTTGTAGGGGTCTTGACCTTATTGGCCTCCTCCCCTTATGCTCTTGCTGTGCCTTTTAGCCCAGGCCGATGGTACTGGATCTGGCTTCTAGGCTCCAGCCTCCCTAACTGTGGGTCCCTGACCCTATCAGTCTCTGTCAGTGGTCCCTCTTGGACCTCTAGCTCTTCTTGGGTCCTGACCCTACTTCGGGGCCAGTTGAGATTGGTGTACTGAAGTTCCACAATCAAGGCCGAGGTAACTTTGGTTTTGGCACGAGGCGGGAGAGATTGAAAAAATTCCTATCCATTTTGTACTCAATGCCAATGCCATGTGGCAGGTGGTCATGGATGAGCATCTTGATGACTGCAAGAAAGATGGAAAACAACATTGGTGTGATCACGCAGCCCTCCATGACATTAGTTTGTATGGCAAAGGGCTCTGTAGTAGAATCACTACATAGGATGGAGGCAGTCATCTGATCCTGAAGGAGTCTTAGGATGGTGATAAATTTCCCTAGGCAGCCAAACTTTAATAAAATCTTCCATAAAGCCTCACAGTTAAGAGCTGAAGGCTTTGGTCAAATCAATAAAGGCTGTATTGTACTCATCCCCACACGCCGGAATGTGTGTTTCCCCAGGGACAAGTAGTAGCACTGGCATGTTGCCTCAGGTGGGGTAAGGGAGGCAGCCTTACCTGGGATCCTGGGAGCTTCCAGGAGCTGCAGCTGCGGCAGTCTTGTAGCAAAGAGCCTGGCTGGTAGCTGGAGTATGGCAGCTGGTGAGACTATGGTTTTGTGTAGGGCGCTGCTTCAATGTGTGCCACCCTGCTTTTTTAAAGATGTAGGTATTTTTGACCGTAGGATCTCCTAGGGTCAAAAAACCCACACTGGAAATTAGCAGTGTGGAGAATGCCTGGATGTGTGGTGTGTGCAGTATGTGGTGCCACAGATAGATCTGCAGCACCACAAACCACACATCCACACTTGTCTAGACGCACCCATACAGTTCCTGGTGTTGTTACTGTTATTTTTCCTGGATCTGATAAGCCACAAAAATCATGTCCATGGTGCCTCTTGGTGGTCTGAAGCTGCACTGAAACTCAGGAAGGATTTCTGTGGCAAGAGGAAGCAGTTGGTTCAGCGGAATTTGAGCGAGGATTTCCCTTTCTAGAAGGAGAATTCAAGTGAGGATCTTCCCAGTGACGGAGAGGAGGGTGATATCTTGATAGTATTCACAGACAGACTTATCTCCCTTTTCAACAATACTGGCAATATTGCCATTCCTTAGGTCAGCTGGAATTTCCTCAGTGTCCCAGATTATGAGAAGCAGTGTATGGAACTTGTTGGTCATAGTTTCCCCACCAGCTTTGAAGTCTTCATCTGTCATGCCATCAGGGCCAGATGCTTTGTTGTTCTTCCTCTATCTTATCATATGGTTGACTTCTTCAGAGGTTGGTAGACTGGCAAGTTTTTCCCTTACTGGATGCTGTGGGGTAGATTCAATGGTTTCATCAATTCACCACCAATTCGTGGCTCAGGAGTTTTAGGTAGTGCTCAATCCAGTGGTTTTTAATGGATTTGTCTTTAAGGAAAGTACTGCCATCTTCAGTTCTAAGTGGGGTAAGTCTGCAAGAGCTTGGTCTGTACACAGTCTTGATTGCAATGAAGAAGCTCCACATGTTATGACTGTCAACAAATTGTTGGATTTCTTTTGTCTTCTCTTCTCACCATTTGTTTTTGATTTCTTGAATCTTCTGGGCTTCAGCTTTAAGCTGTTGAAAAGTTCCCTGACTGGAAGCTCCCTGCTTCTAACTGGACATAGGATAGTCTTGCCAGTCACAGAAAGCTTTCCTCTTCCAATTGAGAAGGGCTTTGATCTCAACACTGTTTTCGTCAAACCAGTCCTGATGGTGTCAGGTGATAAAGCCAATTGACTCTGGACAAGCCTCATGGATAATCTCCTTTAGAGCTTGTCAATCTTCCTCAACTCAAGTGTTATTTTTTTCAATCCTCAGATTGGTGAGTTTTTTGCTGAGATGTGTTTGGAGGGCTTTGCAGTGTCTAAGGGTCTGAAGGCATTTGATATTGCACTGTCTTTGCACTGAATTGGGTTGCTTTCTATGTTTCAGTGCAACCCTAATGGACATGATTGATCTCACTAAGCTATGATTGGTCCAGCAGTCACTGGCTCCTCTCATAACATTCATGGTATGAATGTCTTTTAGATCACATGCTCTTACAATGACATAGTTGAGGAGATGCCATTGTTTTGAGCCGGGGTGTTGCCATGTTGTTTTGTACCTGTCATGTTGTCTGAAGATAGTGTTAGTAAGGACAAAGTCATGCTCTGCACATTTACTGACTAAGAGGATGCTGTTGGAATGGGCCTTGCCCATTCCTTCCTTCCAAATGGTGCTCCTCCACATATTAAAGTCCTGGCGAACTCTTGCATTGAAATCTCCAAGGAGAATGATTTTATCCTCTTTTGGGATGATAGTCAGGATTTCATCAAGGTCAGCATAAAACTATTCTTTTTGTTCTTTCTCAGCATTGATATGCACTGGTGATGGTAGCAAACAAATTGTTGGTCAGTTGGAGATGGAAAGTCATGAGGTGCTTGTTAACGCCAACAGGGAATTTGCTCATTTGGCTGACAATCTGGTTCTTAATGGTGAAACTAATGCTGTGTATTCATCTATCGTTTGCAGGTTTCCCTTTCCAGAAGAATGTGTAGTCACCTCACTCCTCCCTCAGATGGCCTTCAGCTGCATGTCTGGGCTCACTGAGAACAGCGATATCGATGTTGTTGATGAGAGCTCTTGGGCAACAATAGCTGTTCCATGTTCAGGTCTGTTACTGCTTGGGTCATCTAGTAAGGCTTATACATTCCAGGATGCAAAGGACATTTTTGTATTTTGACCACAGTTTGAGTGATCCCCCTGGAAGCTGCTATCTGGTTGGGTAAGATAAGGTGGGATAGCCTATGTCTGAAGCACTTTTTCTAGCCCTCTCCCAATGCAAAGTAAGCAGAGGGGATCCTAAAAAGGACTGCTCAGTCATGATCACAGCTGCCAAATCACCCTCCTGTCCCATTCCAAGGGTGAAGTGACCAACACATGACCACAGCCTGCTTGTGTATCTGTGACTTTAATACCCCTCTAAAATAATTCTGGAATAGGCTTGTAGCACTTAAACTATACGTGATGCTGAAAGGTAAAACATAGTATTTATATGGGGTGACTTAAATTATTCGTTAATGACTCACCATTTATGAATAATTCATCTTTTTGAAACTCATGCCAATAACCTTTACAACACCCCAGTACATGTCCTCTGTCCAGAAATGTTTATGCTTGGATGTGTAGTTAGAAGTAACAGAAGGTCCCATGGAGAATCAGAATTCAGAATTATATGTGTTTATAGATTATAAAGAGTTGCTTATAGATTATAAATATTTACTTACCTTGTTTGGGAATGAAAACTTGCTCTGTTCTACTTTTCCAGGTGTGTGAATAGCTGAGAGTGGTGGTGGCCAAGAATGGGTCATCTCCTGGAAAAAAAGTGAATGGTTAACTATTTTTAAAAAGACAACATAAGAAGAGGAAACCATAATAACAATATTTTAGTGGAAGAGCTATCCGAGTAGTAGACATATTGCTATCTGTGGGTAATTTCCAGTAGATTCTAGTATATGCCTGGCTTAGACAGTGGGTGAGTTGCATTATTTTCATCACAAACTTTCAGGAGCATTTTTCTTAACAGTTTCAATCTTAGGATGACCAATGTTTCTTGAGTGCAAGAAGTTTGTTTGTTTGTTTTGGTACTTCATACCCAACCTTTAATTGTGCACTGTATTCTGAGAGTGACAGAAGAAATAATGGTGGATGAGAATACAGAGAAAGGGTTATTTTTTGTATGTTAAGGAATAGATATTTAATTCTAGGACCCAGTAGTTTGGCATATCATATGGACTAGTCTGGAAATAAATCTCACCATCAGGGCTTGAATACAGATTAGCAACTGCAATTACCATTTTCCCCATGAGGAATGTGCTCAAAGCGTCCAGCTGCTCCAGTGCTTTGCAAGACACAGCCCACGATTATGCCCTAAATAAGGATTTCTCCACTCAACTTCTCTTCTTTTTTCTACGTTTATTGAATGAGTTATTTCTTTTTTAGCAAGATGTGTTTACCTTTTTCTGCTTCATATAATATCTTGTCTCTATCTCCATGAGAAGCAACACCTTTGTGATTAAGAAAAGTAAGAAATGCCATTTACTAGGTCAGATGGTAGGTCCACTAATCCAGTATCCTGTCTCACACAGTAGCAGTGTGTGAATGCTGAGAGGAAGGCTCAAGTCCAAGTCTGCTGGGCTGCAGGCACATGATACATTTATTCCAGAGCAACGCAATGCCAGTCAACTTCATTCAAGGACAGCCATTTGATCAGTGCAGTCAAGCTATTACTAGCTTCACCAACTCCTAGGGGTGTGGTGCTATAACAATGACTACTACAAACAGCTACCTTGGGTGACTTGGTCAAACAGCTGTCTGGGGCAGTAGTGTAACTGAGTAGGGGCAACCAGAGCAGGAGCCCCAGGTACCACTTTTGGGGAGGGTGCATAAATAGTTGCTGCTACAGCTGACAGCTAGTCGCACCACCACTACCACCACCATTATGATGGCTAATGCTGCCTTGTGGAGAGCTGGTGCCCAGCACATGGAGCTGCCCTGTTATGCCTCTGGGCCTGGATGCTGGTATAATTTACTCCAGAGTAAAATCTGAGGTAAATTACCACAGAATAAATATACTGAGTAAGGCTGGGGGTTTTTTGGCTACATTTTTACGAGATCTAAACTAGGACAGAAGCTTTTTCTGCTTCTCTGATTTCTTTGAAACATAGGGCTGGTAGGGACATCCAGGTCATCTAGTTCAACCCCATGAATAAATGCAGGGTGTACTGTTCTTAAACCTGTCAAATGCTTTTCTAGTCTCTTGAACATTTTTTTTTATGAGGGAGACTTCACAACTTCCCTGGGCAGTTTGTTTCATTGCCCTACTATTCTGACACTAAGGAAGTTTTAGATGATAAACAGACATTCAGTTTCTCCTGGGAAAGTTGCTGCTCTCCCAGGAGAAACCATGAGTGTATGGTTGCTCCAGGAGAAAAATAACCCGGGAACATAATTGCTCCCAGAAGAAAATTTCCCCTTACCCCCACCCACCTGAAGAGAGTGTGTTTCTCAGGCTAGACTCTACTACTTCAGCGAAGCAGGGAGCAGAACACCCCTGCCCCCCTTCACAATCCCACATTGTGTTGCAGGGAGACACAGGGCTTTGTCACACAATAATTTTAGGTGGCTTAGGGTGCTCTTAACCCTTGGATTTTTCACATATTGAGAGGTATTAATTAGTTTCAAGTACCCTATAGGTGTCTTATATTTATACCAATCCAGGGCAGGTTTATCCAGCTTGTGTTCCATAAATGTGTAACCACTCCCCAGGTATAAAGAACCCAAGTTTCAGTCTTCCAGCATCCCAGAACGCAGTGTTCCCTTCCTCCAACCTCCTGTTTTGTGTGGACAAACTTTTCACCCCCTGAACTCTACTGCCCAGGGGCTGGTACTGGCACAAGCCAGCTCCCCCTCCTGCCCCTGGGGGTGTGACCTAGCCTGGCAGTTTGCAGGGGCACAGAGCAGTCTAGGAGGGACTCCAACCACCCCTGTACCACGCCCCAAGCCTCGCAGATGTAACTAACATTGTTCAGTCTCTCTCTGCACCCTCTCTGGTGCTCGGGCTCTCCGCAGCCCTGCCTCTCTCTGTGCCCTCTCTGGCGCTCGGGCTCTCCGCGGTCCTGTCTCTCTCTCTGTACCCTCTCTGGCGCTTGGGCTCTCCACGGCCCTGTCTCTCTCTCTGCGTCCTCTCTGGCGCTCGGGCTCTCCGCGGTCCTGTCTCTCTCTCTGTACCCTCTCTGGCGCTTGGGCTCTCCACGGCCCTGTCTCTCTCTCTGTGCCCTCTCTAGCGTTTGGGCTCTCCACAGCCCTGTCTCTCTCTGCACTCTCTCCGGCGCTCGGCAATCACTGCCCCCTCTCTGGGGCTCCTCGCTGCCCCCTCTCTCTGGAGCTCCTAGCTGCCCCCACTCTCTGGGGCTAGGGTTCCCACGCTGCTGTGGGTCCCCTATGATGCCTCCTCCATCCCCTCTTAGCCTCACCCAAACCGCCGGTTACAAACAGCAAACACAACTGGGCTACAACACAAACTCCAGCTGTCCGGCTATAACATTAATCCAGCCACCCCTAGGGTGCTCCACCCTTTACCAGTCTCAAATGGCTGATGCATTCAAGGCTCTTCCCTCTGCTCACTCAGGCAGAGCTCCTTCCCCCTTTGTCTGCCAGCAGGGAACTGCCTCCTGGCCTCCAGCCTGTGATTTATATAGGAGCCAGGCCCTGCCCCTTCTTGGTCAGCTGACTAGGCAGGTGTGGGTCACTAGTTCCCTCTAGTTGTCATAGCAACCGGCACCTGATGAGTTATCCCGGCTCTCCAAGTAGCAGGCACCTTAGTGCCCTGCTACACCCATCATTAAAATTCTCCCTCTTTTAGCCTCATGCTCCCCTACCTACCCACCAAGCCCTCTCTCCAATCCACTCCCACCTAGAGCACGAATAGAAGGTTGTCCTGGCTAGCCAGCCCTCTAGTGGCAACTCACAGCTGCAGCTCCTAGTCAGGCCTGTGCTTGCAGCCCCCTAGTGGTAAGTCATGGGGGACTGTTAGGGAAGATTTTTACACTGAATGTGTAATTGCTCTAAACTCAAGCTAACATTAACAATGATCAACATTTGAGAAGCTTAAAGTGTAATGTGGGTGACATTAGACTGACTCTGAGCTGTCTTAGTGAACCAATCAGGCCACCCCTGGGCAGTGCTGCCATCTGTTGCCAGGCAGACTGAGGGAAATTGTGGCACATGTTAAAATGTTTGCATAAAGGACCTCTGGATGCACAGTATCCACACTGCAAGCTCTTTACTTTTCAGGGTCTCAGTAATCAAATGTCTGTTCAGGTGTTTCCACATAAGTTTTTCTTCCAGGAGAACAAACCCAGGAGAATTCTTCCAGGTCATCTGAATATGTTCGATCTAAATCTGTTTTGCTACAGTTTAAACTTATTTCTTCATGTTTGTTCTTTTCCCATAGATAGATGGCTTGTGTAGAAAGGGTTAATCTTGCTGCCCATTGTCAGCAGTTTTAGATTGATATTTGCTTAAATGCATGATGCACAAAAGGCATGATGTTTGATGCACTCTCTTTTAATAAAATTAATGTAAAAAATCATGTTGCATGCAACAACCATGAAGGGTCAATCAGCAGGTCTCAGGAGTTGCTTGGTAAGCAGTGCTCTGCCTCATTACCACTGACTGCCACTATGAGAGTTTGTTCTGAAAATGCTATGCTGCTGCCTTGCATTTATTTCATTAATAGAGTGTGCTGCTGTCACTCAGGTGTACGCTAGAGAGTTTACTTGGTTTGCATCTAGTCCCTGAGTAACAGTGCCGTTATATTGCTATAAATGGCCTCTTTTAAAACACACTTGAACATGTCAGTTTTATCTGAAAAAGAAGAAGTGAGTATGAGCATCTTGCTTATTCTTCATCAGTAGCTCTGGAATGGAGCAATGGCCACTCTGCGGCTAGCCCTAACATTTTTTACTTAACTCAACGTCTCAAGAGTGTCCTGCCAATTAGGTAATCTGGTGGGCTGACTCTTTCAAGGTGGTATGAGTTATAAATTTGTTCTTGATAAAAAGTTTATTTTCTAGTAAAAATGCATTCTTTATTTTGTTTGAGGTTAAAAGCATTAAATGATTTATTATGCCATTGTAATCTCTGTGCATGCTCTAATCAAAGCATTATGTGGTTTGCTGTTTCAGTATCAGGATTTCTGTGCTTTTCAGTTCACTCAGGCAGACTGTTTATCTTATGCTTTTCTTATCAGATAAGTGCCACCAACAGCAGTACACAGCAATTTTTATTATATAGCAGGCCCTTTAGAACACAGACAACCAATCACTGTCCAGTTTGCTGTAGAGAAGGAAAAGTCTTATTGCAATGATTATACACATGAGAAGTATAACAGTGCAGCTAGATGTCCTGAGCAGCAGAGGTGCATGGGACATTGGTGCCTCCCAGCTGCCAGAAGCTACAGCATGGCTAGCCAGCAGTGGCATCAGTTATAATTTTTGTGCCCTAGTTTTCTACTCCATCACTCTCACACACAATCGTTTTCAAAAGCTCAATGTATTACTTATTAGAAAATGAAATATTCTCACAGTAATGCTTTATTACAATCATATGTTAAAAGAAAGGGGATTTGTGGTATGGTTCAAACACTGAGAGTAAGATCCAAACACTGAGACCTTTGTCAGTCTAGGTTTAATAGGGACCTTTCCATCACGTAATTAGGTTATTTACATTTGAAGAGTTGTGTGTTTTCTGCACCAAAACTGAAGGCATGTGTTCCCTTCTATGACTGAAGTTCAATGAGATTTAGTCTACA